GTTTCTTATATATTTTATATATTTTTTAGATATTTTAGAAAATTAAAATATTTTTCTTATATATTTTATATATTTATATATAATATTTTATATATATATATTTTATATATATATATTTTTCTTATATATTTTATATATTTTATATATATTCTTATATATTTTAAATCTCAAGTTTCATTGTATATGAATTTGGCAATGAGTCGTTATATATGTCTCTTGATATAAGATTGTGTGCATTAAAAGAATTCATAATTTTAATACATTTTAATTTTTCAAATATATTTCATGTTGTTTTTGCATTTTTGTTGCTTCAAAATTTGTTTATGATTATATCATCTACTATCTGTTTTTATATTTCAGAAATATTTTAGCAAGTTTTGATATTATCTAAAATGAATGAGACACAAGAAATTGTTACTGGAAAGACACAAACGATTATAAAACAGAACAATAAAATTCACAATGAATTCAGGTAAAATAGAGTTTGTGCAAGATAAATATATATCTTTTATATTTTTTTTATAATATATACAATTTAAAGAAATTTATTTACAAAAAGATTTAAGTTTAGATTGGATTAAGATTTGTATTTAAGTTTGAGTATATTTAATTATATTTTTTTCTGTTTGCTTTCAAGAATAAAAAATACATAAATTTTAAATCTTTATAGTAATTTTGTTCCACAAACTATCAATAGAAACTCCAAGGAAAAAATTCCAATAGCTGATGTAATACCACAGGTAAATTCTTAATATACGTATATACATATACATGAGTATAGTATAAATTTATAGGTATAATTGCAAAAAACAAATAATTATTACATATTTTTTAGATCATTTCAAGTTGTATAATTCATTGTATAGTTATAAAAGCTGGTATAAACATGGCATATAGTACTGTTTTACTAAGTGGATTAGAATCAGATACTGATCAAATGCTGAAGATGACTGAAAACGAAGAGTCTTGGATAGGTCAGTTTTGAAAGATAAAAAGATTTAAAGATTTAAGATGCTTTTGTGCTTAAAGAATACAGTAGACTTTGTGTAGTAGTACATTAGAATCAATGATTAAAAAAATAAAATCCAATAAAAGCAAAGATTATATTTTATGCAAAGAAAGATTATTTTATAAATAATAAAAGAGCATAAATATATTTGCAAAATCTGTTTTTGATAGACTTATACGAGTTTTATCAGTATCTAGTTTTTAATTATATTTCCAAAGAGACTTGATTTCATTTGATTTAATTATATTTCCAAAGAGACTTTGATTTTATTTTAAAATTTAAACTTTCATCACTTCTTTCTTGACATTTAAAAATTTTAACGCATACTATTAGATAATTGAATTTAGACTATTTCTATTTTTTTTATTGACCAAACATTTCTAGTTTATAACTTCCATATATTAGGAATTTATTCTTGAATTCAAATGAATTTCAATTGAAAGTTCAGTTATTTCCTAAATTTATTATATTATATTTTCTAAAATAAATAGAACATTTCGATCAGAATTTATTCCAAACAATAAATATCTTAAAAGGAAATTTTTAATTTAAAATGTTTACATTTTTTTTATTACTTGTAATTGTTTAAAATAAAAAAATTTTTTCATGCAATGAAATCTAATGCTGTCTCTTATTAGTTTTTATTTTTCTAATCATTGATTTAGATCTCAGACTTTTAATTATTTATTTTTCTTTAAATTAAAAATTAGAATTGTAGAGCAATATTGAGTATTATTTTATATTTTGTTCTGTAGCAAGTCTAGTTACAATAACATTGCCAATAGGATCTTTAATTGCTGGGTTTCTGATGGATAAATTTGGACGCAAAATGGTTTGTTTATTATCTTGTATTCCTGCAGCAATATCATGGATTTCATTGATCTTTGCCAAATCCTTAATTACCATTTATGCGGCTCGAGTTATAGCTGGAATTGCAGCGGGCTTAACAACTGCTGGTGTGGTTTATATATCAGAACTCACACATCCACAAGTCAGACCAATGCTTCTATGCCTTAATTCCGTGTTTGTGTCGTTCGGTATATTGATTACTTACTGTCTAGCTATAATGTTAGACTGGCGCAAAATGGCTATAATTTTCCTTGCATTAGAGTGTTGCATTTTTTTTACACTTTATTTTGTACCTGAAAGTCCTTACTGGCTTGTGTATTTTAAAAATGGCATATTTGATGAAAAACGAATTCGCAAAATGAAACACAATTTAAAACGACTTAACAGAAGGCAAACAGTGAGTACAACATAGAGTTTCACATTATTTATTAAAAAGCATTAACAGAATATGAATAGATATATATTTTCTAGATTTATGAGGAAGAATATTCACGAATCATGGAGATTTGTGGAAATCGTGTAGCGAATGACGAAGCATCAAAGAGCATCACAGTATCTATAAAAAATTATTACCATAAATTTATATCTCCAGAAGCCTATAGGCCTATACTATTACTTTTTTTATTTTTTATTGCAACAGCTATCTGGTTCCTACTTAATTATATTTTATGCTATTTCTGTTTTTCACGAGATGGGTGAAATGTTTGGCCAGGGTTTGAATGAAAACGCTGCACTTATTATGTTAGGTATTATTCGATTTCTTGTAAGTGTATTAACTGTATTTTCTAGTAGAAAATACGGCAGAAGAATTCTTTGTATCTTGAGTGGGATTGGAATGACTATTTCCATGTTTCTTTCTGGAATGTATATGCATTTCGTAGAATGGGGTGATGAAAATGGTAATACAGAAGAAACCATGGTGGATCAAAAGTGGATATTATTATTCTTTGTATTATCTTATATTTGCACCAGTTCGTTTGGATTTATAATTATACCATGGACATTGATCGGAGAATTATTACCTGTGTCTATACGTAGTGTTGGTGGGGGTCTCATGGTTTCTCTTGCTTACATAATGATGTTTATTGTCGTAAAGAGCTATCCGTACGTTTTGAAAAGCATGAGCATCGAGAGCATTTTTTTTTTCTTTAGCTTCATGTCTCTAATAGGTACAGCTTTTGTATATTTCTTTCTGCCAGAGACTTTAGGCAAATCATTTTCAGATATTGAAAAATTTTTCTCTTCCACAAAAGAGAAAAAAAAGCGTGATGCTAATTCTGAAAATTTTTAATTTTACTGCTTCTAGTTTTATTTGTACATTTTGCATGATGTAGTATTTGTAGTCATAAGGACGATGGGACTGTAAATATTTTTTACAGAATTTTAATGTCTTAGACAGTATTAATTTTGATAATAAATTTAAAAAATGTATAATTAGCATAGAACCATTTTGTATTTAGAATGTTATAATTAATCTTCCTTATGTAGATAAATATTGGAATTTATTAAATTCATTCTACATAATCATAAGGCGTATATTGTTTTGATACTAGATTCTTTAATTAAATCAGTATAAGTTTTTCTGTGATTGAAGCATTCATAACTTTCCAATTAAAAAGGAAAGATCTTGTGAATTAAATTTGAAAGTCATAACTAACAACAATTTATACAACAAATCTATTTTTTGATAAAAATTAATAAAATTTTAATTTCATACATAGTTGCAACAGATATGTAAAAAAATGCATTAAATAATGATTTTTTTTTACTTTGAAAAAAGTGCCTCAACTAAATTAGATTCAAATTTATCATCATAAAACAGCAATAGTTTTGTGACACCTTGTATAGTAACTTTCACTTTAATGTGTTTATTATTGCATGGAATTAAATACAAATCCAATTTATTTACACATGTGTGCGTATGCATGTTAATACATATATGACATGCTTCAATTTTTTAATAAAATATAAAATAGTAGGAGCATAACAATTTTATTGCTATAAATTTTCGATAAAGAAAAATATCCAATTTGTCAACAAATCCGAGCAAAAAAATTATCCAAGTTGATATCAATTGCATTTACATTAAATTCATATTTTGCTAGTAAAGTCTCTGTTTATATAATCTGACTACTAATCAACAGGTACTGAATAGAATTTATTTTTTAATCACATTTAAATGGTTACATATATGTATATGTATATGTATATGAAACAATAAATTCTATTTTCTGTAATTTACCATTATATTAATAAATTCCGTTACATTTGAGCTGATATTCTGCCAATGTAATGTAATTTATACAGACTGCAAAATTTTTCATTTTGACAAATGTGCTATTTGGATTAATATTATATAATACTGTATTCTGATCCTGTAAATTTATAAAAACGAGGAAGAAGAAAAAAGCGATAGACGGATATATGTCTATTAAGTGTAATACTATACAACCGGTTAGAGCAGTCCTGTTACGGATACTGATATATACGTAAATTTAACCTTTTCCTCCCTTTCTCTCTTTTCCTCACGTTCATAACGGGCAATTGTATCGGGCATATTGTTAATATCGCAACATTTGCATCGTTCTTATCGCATTAATATGATAATTTTCAAACGTGTGTACTAAGTAGGTTACAGAAATGTTTTCATACTAAATTTCGATTCACCTGTTGCAGATGTGTACATGATGTGAGCTGAATATATGATCTTCTACCTTACACGTTTGACAAGTGATGCTTCACCATAACCTAACGTGTGTTGACAATATCTGCAATTTCTTCTCAGTGAAGAGGAAAACATCATCAAGAGTATTTTCAGTATCGACTACACAACAATTAATATATGCCAATTACTTGGTAATTTTCTTCATGATGGTATATTCCTAAAAAATGGTGCTTATTCGTCGCAAAACTTGGTTGAAATGGTCATTTTGCATACTGTATATAATTGGCCTTTTAATTATTGCTAAACAAATATTTCGTGCGAATGACGAATCTAGGATTTATAAAGAACAGTTTCCATTTCCAAGAGATGGCAATAATTCTCAAAAACAGAAGGACGTAGACATTGCGTTAGAGAGATTACAAATGGAAAGGTAAATTATCTAATCACAATTTTCTGTATAATTTTTCATTTATCAATTCAAGAACTGCTTTTATTAATTAAAGTACTAATTAAATCTTCAGTAAATTAAATCTTCAAGTAATCTTTCTGTAATATATCAAATAATTGCAACAAATTGGCAATAAATCTGATATCATTTATGTGCATATTTAGTGCTTTATTAATAAAAATTGAGCACTCTCTGTCATTTCATAAACATTCAAAGAAAGTAAATTATTTAAATGATCACAAAACAAATTTTGTTTAATTTCTACAATTAATTTGACTAGATTCAGTTATATCTCTGTTGACATTTTGCTAATAAAATTTATTTTGTAGATTTGCAAAATTTGCTTTGTAGATTAGATTATCTTAATTAAAATATATTAATATAATATTAATTAAATAATATACTAGATTAACATAATAATAAATTGAAATGATATTTTAGCTATGAGCAACAGATATTAAAATTAGAACGTGGTGTTGTACCTGGACTTGGAGAAAATGGAGAACCTGCATTTTTGTATGGAAGAGATAAAAGTCTAGGTGAAGCAGCACTTGCAAAAAAAGCATTGAATGTTATTCTCTCAAATAAGATATCATTAACTAGAAAATTACCAGATGTACGCAATCCACTGTAAGAACTTTAAAATATATATATATATATATATATATATATATATATAATTAATATATATATATAATAA